AATCCACTGATGATCCATTAGCAGGCTCTGAAAGGAGATGTGAATCCACCTTCTGAGCCAAAGAGCACACCTTTTGACCTATCAACAGCCAAAACCTTCTCTGCTTTACTTAGAGGCATCCCAGGGGCACGTACAAAACAACGCCTTTCCCTCCCAGAAGCACCAAAGGAAAGTCTGCCTGAGGAGAACATCTCAAAATACGTGTCCAAGGATCTGGGTTGCTCCGTGCTGGGGCTGTGGAGTGTGGAGGGCACAAGGCAGCGATGCTGGGGGCTGTGGGATGCACGGGGTGCCCAGGATGGAGGACAAGGTATCCTCCTCCAGGATGGAGGACAAGGTGGCTTCGTCCCATCGGTCAGATGCCACGACATGGTCATGGTGCTGCCAGCTCCTGGCTGACCAGGGAGAAATGGTTGGGTACAGGGGGGCAGGTCCTCCCCCCACCACCCCCTTCACTCCCTTGCCCATGGATCAATTGTGCTGGGAGAGCTCGGGGCTGTATGTAGGTCAGGCACATTGCTGGCTCCACCGCTGCCATCAGGGCATTAAAATGAACAAGGATCCCCCCTTCTCCCTCCACCCAACTCCCCCCGACGCCCAGCCCTTGGCAGAGGGTGGTTTTGGCTCCCATCCTAAAGAAGAAGAGCGTTTCTTTGAGGCTTTGGGCTTGTTTGAGCAAAGGCAGAGTGTGTGCAGCTCCTGGTCCAGCACGGACGCTGTGCCCTGGACAACAAGCCCTGTACAACGTCCAGACCGAGCGACCAGCTCCCCGTTTGTCCACACACCTGGAGAGCTCTGCACCAGGAGGGGGAAGGGGCAACGTGACCCAGTTCATAGTTTTTCTGTCAATACGGCTGGCATTGCTCCCTCTTGACTTTCTGAAAGGGATGGGGCTGAACCAGCTCCCAGAAAAAGGGCATTTCCCAGTGCAGCATCCCCTGGGAAGGCAGCCCCAGGGAAGAGGGAGCGGGATGTCCCACCCGTGGTTGCTCTCCTGCTTGTCTCTCCTCAGGAGGGGAGCAGATAAGAGAGTGACATCCTAACCTTCAACACCAGGACCTCTGGGTTTGGCCACCCAGCTTTGACTCCCCCCAAGAAGCCTTTATCACTCAAGGAGGAAACCCAAATCCTCTGGGAACTCAGGCTCCTCCCGGGCTGGATGGAGGGGGAGGAGAGAGAGAGAGAGAGCAAGCGGAGAAGAAACTTTCTCACATAAAAAAAAATTCAGTAGTTTAAGGCAAACTTTGCACTCGCTGAAGATTTGACCTTGTGTTCTCTCCTAAGAACAAACAAGAGAAGAACGAGGATGGTATTATTTCGCCTGAAATTTGGAGTGGATCAGACCCCTGCTGTTCCCAGCTCCTGCCACGCACGGCTATAAACAACATGCATTTCCGGAGGATGAATTAAACAGCGAGACCCAGTACTGACTGTATTTCCAGAGATGTTTATTTGTTCCTCGCTGCCTCTCTATAAAGAGTTGCACAAGGACTTACTAAATTTTAACCCCACGTTGCTCTTGGGTAAACACTCCCCGTGATCCAACGCGAGGAGCCGAGATGAGCCCGTGTTTGCTCCTGCTCTCCGGAGCACGCAGACCCTGCAGACCCTGGGGACAGCCAGGTTGTTCCCCATCCCGGCAGACCTCTAGCAGTTTTCTGCCAAAAAATGTTCTTTGCGAGAAGGTGGGGATGACCTTGGTCTGCAGAAGTGTGGCTGAGCCAGTCTCGGCTCCTGTCCTCCTCGCTTGATGTTATGGAAAGGGTGAGAAAAGCTGAATGCTGGCCAAAGAGCTGTGCTGCAACTCCCCAGAGAGTCAAGTCGCAGGGACAGCCTTGTCCTGAGGTCCTCCTACCCCAGATCCCACCACCACAGGGAGCTGTGATGGGTGCTTATGCCATGGTCCATCCCTCGCCTGCCCTTCCTGCCCGCAGCGATGGAGAGAGTGAAGCCCTGAGACCTTCACCCTCCCACATTTGCACTGTCCCACCCAGGATCACTGGTGAAGACACAAAAAAAGGCTTAGAGGGATTAATCCCACCCCATTTCTGCCTCCTGTGATTGCCAGGGTCTAAACAGCCTGCTCTTTTGGACCATCCACCAGCATCCAGCGGGGTGGGGAGTTGGGGCTGCACAGCCATTGGCATCCGAGCAAGAGCAGCCTGGAATGATGGGGTTCTGGGGGGGGAAATTGGCTTTGCTCTTCATGAGGGACAGGCTGAGCAACCAGCACGAAAAGCAAAGCCCAGCATCCCATCCCAGTGTGAAAACTGGGCCAGCTCCCCCTGCCTTACTGGGAGCCCCCAAGGAGTCCCCACCTCCTGACTTTTGGGGGTGTTTCGGGGAGGGATGTAGCTACAGGACACGAGATGCTGAACGTGGCTCTCCAAAAAGAAGCAGGATCCGTGCCTTGTAGAAACACTTCTGAACTCGTGTTTGTTCCCTCTCCTGGGTCTGGGCAGAATGTCAAAGCCTGCTCTGAGCTGGAAATATTTTAAGACTAGCACTCACTGGAGACCGAAACAATGGCAATTCTTCAGCTACTGAGGCTTTTATAAAAGGGCTTTTGACATGGAGGCTGCTTAGGGGG